TTTTGACATTTTTCGAAACTGACAACAGCAAAAATGGAGATTTTGAAAATTTCAAAATTCAGAATGTAAAAATTTCAGGTGTTTTGAATCAGAATCTTTTCAGGTTCATAAGTACATATCTTCGTTTTAAAAGCTTTGCAAACTGTGTCAACTCCATTTCAAAAAATTCGAAATAAAAAAAATAGTATTTGAAGTTAAAAAAATTTGAAAAATAAATGTTTTCGAAATTTATATCATTCTATTAATTTTGAAATAGAAGGTCAGATTTTGTGATTTTCAGCCTTAACTGTCCTTATACATAATAAAGAATGTAAAACAAATGTTTCTGAAATTTCTGGAAATTAATAACCAAAATAATAAAGATTTTGAAATTTCCAAAATTCAGAAGGTATAAATTTCAGGTGTTTGAATCTGAAGAGATTTTTTCAGTTTCATAGATATCCTCGTTTTACAAGCTCTGCAAACTGTGGCAACCACATTTAAAAAGATTCAAAATTAAAAAATGGTAGTGGATATTATAAAGTTTGAAAACTAAATATTTTCCAAATTTATGTTTCTAATAATTTTACCATACATAGTATCACGATTTTGCTAGTTTCAACCTTGACAATCCTTAAATATAATAAACATTGTGAAATGAGAGTTTTTGACATTTTTCGAAACTGACAACAGCAAAAATGTAGATTTTTGAAAATTTCAAAATTCAGAAAGTAAAAATTTCACGTGTTTAGACTCAGAATTTTTTTTCAGGTTCGTAAGTATCTTCGTTTTAAAAGCTTTGCAAATTGGGTCAACTCCATTTCAAAAAATTCGAAATAAAAAAAAATAGTATTTGGTGTTAAAAAAATTTGAAAAATAAATGTTTTCGAAATTTATATGATTCTATTAATTTTGAAATAGAAGGTCAGATTTTGTGATTTTCTCCCTTAACTGTCCTTATACATAATAAAGAATGTAAAACAAATGTTTCTGAAATTTCCGGAAATTAATAACCAAAATAATAAAGATTTTGAAATTTCCAAAATTCAGAAGGTATAAATTTCAGGTGTTTGAATCTGAAGAGATTTTTTCAGTTTCATAGATATCCTCGTTTTACAAGCTCTGCAAATTGTGGCAACCACATTTAAAAAGATTCAAAATTAAAAAATGGTAGCAGGTATTATAAAGTTTGAAAACTAAACATTTTCGAAATTTATGTTTGTAATAATTTTAAAATATATAGTATCACGATTTTGCTCTTTCAACCTTGACAACCCTTAAATGTAATAAACATTGTGAAATGAGAGTTTTTGACATTTTTCGAAACTGACAACAGCAAAAATGGAGATTTTGAAAATTTCAAATTTCAGAATGTAAAAATTTCACGTGTTTAGAATCAGAATTCTTTTTCAGGTTCGTAAGTATCTTCGTTTTAAAAGCTTTGCAAACTGTGTCAACTCCATTTCAAAAAATTCGAAATAAAAAAAAATAGTATTTGGTGTTAAAAAAATTTGAAAAATAAATGTTTTCGAAATTTATATGATTCTATTAATTTTGAAATATAAGGTCAGATTTTGTGATTTTCACCCTTAACTGTCCTTATAGATAATAAAGAATGTAAAACAAATGTTTCTGAAATTTCCGGAAATTAATAACCAAAATAATAAAGATTTTGAAATTTCCAAAATTCAGAAGGTATAAATTTCAGGTGTTTGAATCTGAAGAGATTTTTTCAGTTTCATAGATATTTTCGTTTTACAAGCTCTGCAAACTGTGGCAACCACATTTAAAAAGATTCAAAATTAAAAACTGGTAGTGGATATTATAAAGTTTGAAAACTAAATATTTTCCAAATTTATGTTTCTAATAATTTTACCATACATAGTATCACGATTTTGCTAGTTTCAACCTTGACAATCCTTAAATATAATAAACACTGTGAAATGAGAGTTCTTGACATTTTTCGAAACTGACCACAGCAAAAATGGAGATTATGAAAATTTCAAAATTCAGAAAGTAAAAATTTCAGGTGTTTTGAATCAGAATTTTTTTCGGGTTCATAAGTATCTTCGTTTTAAAACCTTTGCAAACTGGGTCAACTCCATTTAAAAAAATTCGAAATAACAAAATTTGTATCTGGTGTTAAAAAAATTTGAAAAGTAAATGTTTTCGAAATTTATGTGATTCTATTAATTTTGAAACAGAAGGTAGAGATTTTGTGATTTTCAGCCTTAACAGTCCTTATAAATAACGAAGAATGTGAAAAAAATGTTTCTGAAATTTCCGGAAATTAATAACCAAAATAATAAAGATTTTGAAATTTCCAAAATTCAGAAGGTATAAATTTCAGGTGTTTGAATCTGAAGAGATTTTTTCAGTTTCATAGATATTTTCGTTTTACAAGCTCTGCAAACTGTGGCAACCACATTTAAAAAGATTCAAAATTAAAAAATGGTAGTGGGTATTATAAAGTTTGAAAACTAAACATTTTCGAAATTTATGTTTCTAATAATTTTAAAATATATAGTATCACGATTTTGATCTTTCAACCTTGACAACTCTTAAATATAATAAACATTGTGAAATGAGAGTTTTTGACATTTTTCGAAAGTGACAACAGCAAATTGGAGATTTTGAAAATTTCAAATTTCAGAAAGTAAAAAATTTCAGGTGTTTTGAATCAGAATTTTTTTTTAGGTTCATAAGTATCTTCTTTTTAAAAGCTTTGCAAACTGTGTCAACTCCATTTAAAAAAAATCGAAATAAAAAAAAATAGTATTTGGTGTTAAAAAAATTTGAAAAGTAAATGTTTTCGAAATTTATATGATTCTATTAATTTTGAAATACAAGGTACAGATTTTGTCATTTTCAGCCTTGACAGTCCTTATAAATAATAAAGAATGCGAAAAAAATGTTTCTGAAATTTCCGGAAATTAATAACCAAAATAATAAAGATTTTAAAATTTCCATAATTCAGAAGGTATAAATTTCATGTGTTTGAATCTGAAGATTACTTTCAGTTTCATAGATATTTTCGTTTTATAAACTCTGCGAACTGTGGTAACCACATTTAAAAAGATTCAAAATTTAAAAATGATATCGGATATTATAAAATTTAAAAACTGGACATTTTCTAATAATTTTAAAATATATAGTATCACGATTTTGCTCTTTCAACCTTAACAACTCTTAAATATAATAAACATTGTGAAATGAGAGTTTTTGACATTTTTGGAAACTGACAACAGCAAAAATGGAGATTTTGAAAATTTCAAAATTCAGAAAGTAAAAATTTCAGGTGTTTATAATCAGAATTTTTTTTCAGGTTTTTAAGTATCTTCGTTTTAAAAGCTTTGCAAACTGTGTCAACTCAATTTCAAAAAATTCTAAATAAAAAAAAATAGTATTTGGTGTTAAAAAAATTTGAAAAATAAATATTTTCGAAATTTAAATGATTCAATTAATTTTGAAATAGAAGGTACAGATTTTGTGATTTTCAGCCTTAACAGTCCTTATAAATATCAAAAAATGCGAAAAAAATGTGTCTGAAATTTCCGGAAATTAATAAGCAAAATAATAAAGATTTTGAAATTTCTAAAATTCAGAAGGTATTTTGAATTGGAAGAAAAATTTTCAGGTTCATAAATAAATTCCTTCCTCTAAAAGATCTTGCAAACTTTGTCAACTGGATTTGAAAAATTTCAAAATTAAAAAAAAAATCCGAGCGGTGTTTGGTGAGTTGACGTTTCGAGGGAAATAAACATTCTTCAAGGGTACTTCCCATTGATTTTAGGTATAAAAATTCAGAAAGTATAAATTTCGGCGTTTTGAATTTTAAGTAAATTTTTTCAAATTGACAAATATTTTTGAAATTCGCGTGATTCATAGCATTAAAATAAAAAGTATCATTCGCTATTATATATTTAAAAACTCCTAAACATAAGTACAAAAAAGTGCCTGAAATTTTTCGAAAATAATAAAACTGAAGATATTTCTCATGTCAGTGTTATTATTTTAGTTCTCTTCGTTATTTTTTTTGTGTTTATTTTTTATACTCATTGCAGCAACCGAACCAAAATTAATTCACTTGTGCAAATGTGAGACCATTTCGGGACCAATAAATCATCATTATAAAAAAAAATCCGTCGTAACACGAATGTCCTGAAATCTTCGAAGGTTTATTATTATTTTTTAAACAAGTTGCACGATGAAACCGATACCCACAATTTATAGCGACAAGTTTTTAAGAATTCTAATTTAATCAGCACATGATCTTTTAAACAGTGAATGCAGTTCTCCTGTTACACCAATTAAAGAATGTAGTTGATGAAGCTAATGACGTTTTATAACGAAGTCTGAAGGTTTGATTTAAGATTGGTTGTAAAATAAATAAATTCTTCAGCTTGTTATATCCCTGACTCTCGTTTTAATCTACGTAAAAATTGAAAGTTGAGTTAATGGTTTCAATATGAAAATTAACCGAAGTGAATAAAATCGCACTTTTTCGAATACGAATAAATAAAAAAAAGCAAAGACACCGGAAATTCAAAATTTTCCTTGAATATATCGTTACTTTCTCCTAAACCACGTGCGATTGGTTTATGTTGTTCATAAATAGACTTTTTGCGAACGACTCAGTGTGGAAACTGAAGACCTTCCAGGAAGCGACACGAAGAAAAATTCTTTACACATATTGTGCGTGGATAATCAATAATTACTTTATTGTTTATTACCACTTCGAACCTCTCCAATTCATAGTCTTAGATCCGTCACTGCATCCGTCCATCACGTCTTAGATCATTCCTAAAACCGCACAATTTTTTCCTAAAACGATGTGTCACTCTTATCAAAAAAACGTGCACTCCGCGGCAATGACATTTAAAATATTTCCCATATTTTCCCCAAAACCCATCATCGGAATCCCACATACCGCCACTTTCGGCAAACCCAACCTTGAACGTCTTCATTAAGCTAATAGCCGTCGATTTGTTATTCAAATGATCCTCATCTCGTCTTTGCAGGTTCGGCGTACAAAGGCCCCTACTACGGCGACTACGACACCTACGGCTACGCCAACTACGACCTGGACGCCTTCTACGACCTCCACGACCACCACTACTAACCACCCCAGCTGAAAAAACCCTATTTTTGTACAGCCACTGTATTACCGAAACTAACAATAATAAAAAAACAAGGCCAGTTCGAGCGCATTTTCGCCCACGACACGCACTTTCGCCGATAAATATTTATGCGCCGCGACGTTTAGCAACCGTTGCGCAAGCAAGTTATCTTCGAAAACGAAAAATGAAAAGCGGGCGCCGACAGGTGGAAAGAGGAAGTCCGGGCCTGGAGCTCGAGACCCTCTAACACTAATCAAACATGACAGTGACAGATGTATCTTCGTTATCTTCAGCGATTCTTCTTCGCTTTCCATTCGTGACGCAACCGTTTTGTAACCTATTCGTGCTCGAAATAGCGATTAGACAAAGGAGCATCGAGCCTTTGACGGTCACAGGTGGCTATGGGCGTTATTCAAATTTTCTCGTTACATAAAGAGCTGACATTTTCGCGGCCGACCCACTTGGGTAACGTAAAAGTTGTCAAATTGTCACAATTGTGGGGAAATCTGTGACATTTGCACTGACAAGTTGAGCGCTGTTTTTTGGAGAAAATGCAAGGTTTATGGGCGTTTCGTCATTTTCCTTGTAGTGAGCGTGGAAAGCGTAAATCAAGGTGGTCGTAAAGATGGTGCGCCGCGGGGTTTTTGTGGCTGCAATAGGCTGGGTCATGGTTTTCGACGGAATTGGGCTGGTGACATTTCGGATGGCTTGAGGGGAATGGTTTTTCTTTTTCCGGTGTTTTATGCAATTGTGGAGGTTGGATTTTGGGTTTCCTCATAACTTATTTTCTCTAAACCGTTTAGGAAATGACAAGAAAATTAGATTCAAATGCTAGATTAAGAAAGATTAAAAAACATACTTCAAAGAAAATTTGAAGCTTCAAATTAAACATATTAGGCGTATTATATTGTGTTTACAAAATATGGAAAACAGGCTATTATTTTTTTTTACGTGATTTGTACTTAAACACATTTTTGGTTAACGATGTGAAAAATATTTTTAAAATGGAACGCAAAATGATAAACTTTGGTCAAGTCAGCTTAAGTTAAGTTAGGTTAAGTCATGTCAGATCAGGTTAAGTTAAGTCAGGTCAGGTGAGGTCAAGTCAGGACTTGTCACTTCAGGTAAGTCACGTTGGATCAAGTCACGTCAGGTCAAGTCATCTCAGTAACAGAACATTCTTCAGTATATTTGGAAAATTATCCTGCCTTTTAATACAAAAAAAAAAGAATTTTAGTACTTTTAAAATATAGCGGATAAAAATTCCTAGAATTTTGGGCTCTTTAAATGTTTACAAAAGTGGTAAAAAGTTTGGTTAAGTTGTGTCAGTTCAGGTCACGTCAGGTCAAGTCACATCTGGTCAAGTCACGTCAGTTCAAGCCACATCAGATCAAGTCATGTCAGATCAAGTTACGGCACGTGAAGTCAGGTCAGGTCAAGCTACGTCATGTCACGTCACGTCAGGTCAAGTCACGTCAGGTCACGACACGTCAGGTCAAGTCTCGTCAATTGAAGTCTCCTTAAGTCACGTCAGGTTAAGTTACGTCAGTACAAGTCACGCTAGATCAAGTCACATCAGGTCCACTCACGTCTTTTGAAGCATCAGGTCAACTCACGTCAGGCTAAGTCACATTAGGTCAAGCTAGGTCAGCATAAGTCTGATCAGGTCAAGTCACGTCACAAAATGCTGCGTTAGATTAACATATTTTTCATCTAAATAACACTATGTTTGCAAAATTATTACTTGTTTCTTAATACAAAAATGGAATGAATGTTTATATTTTAGAAATTTTGATGGCTTAGATAATATAAATTTTTAAATCAGGTCAGACCAAGTCAGGTTAAGTCCAGTCAGGATTAGGAATTTCAGGATTGATCAAGTCAGGTCAAGTCGTATCAGTTTAAGTGAAGTGAGGTCAAGTCAGGTTACAAAATGCGCTTTTTTCAATTCATTTGGAAAACTATATCGTTTAATACAACAAAATAATTCATTTTATAAAATATGGAATTCTTAAGTTAAGATTAATGTAGATCAGGTTAAGTCAAATCATTACTGGTTGGATAGGTCACAGCTGATCAAATAAGGTCAAATAAGTGGGAATAGGAACTAAGAGAATTATATATAACATTTGTTTCTTATTTCTAAAGAAGAAAAATGAGAGAACGGGTGGGTGAGCGGTATTAAGTTTGACATTTCCTACAGAATCTTCTATAAGCAAGAAAAAGCCCCGCCCACCCACCCCTTCTTCGTTCCAGTGACTATTTTTAATATTGTTCAGTCCTATCTTAGCAAGTTGTAGCCCCGCCCATACACGCTGTTCTCGTTTTAACGATTTTATCTATCTTCAATTGAGATCCACCTTTTTTTCGGATTAGATGAAATAAATCACTGAAATGGAGGCGGGTGGGTGGGCGGGGCTAAGTATGACTTTTCCCTACAGAATCTTTTATACGCAAAGTAATAGCCCCGCCCATCCACCCACTCTTCATTCCAGTAATTACCCTTAATATTGTTCAGTGCTATCTTAGCAAGTTTTAGCCCCGCCCACCCACCCGTTTTTTTCTTCGAAGATATGTCATTTATCAAAATCAATTCTATCTTAACAAATATTATAGCCCCACCTACTCGTTTCCTATTTTCTTAGAGGATATGTCGTTTGCCACGATGAGTCTTAACTTAGCAAGTAGTAGCCCCTCCCACCCACCCTTATTTTCTTATAGGATATGTCATTTACCCAAATCAGTCTTACCTTAGCAGGTATTAGCCCCGCCTATATACGCTGTTCTCATTCTAACGATTTTATCTATCTTAAATTGAGATCCACCTTTCTTTCGGACTATATGAAATAAATTCCTGAAATGGAGGCGGGTGGGTGGGCGGGGCTAAGTATTACTTTTCCCTACAGAATCTTTTATAAGCAAAGCAATAGCCCCGCCCACCCACCCCCTCTTCATTCCAGTAATTACCCTTAATATTGTTCAGACCAATCTTAGCAAGTTTTAGCCCCACCCACCCACCCATTTTTTTCTTCGAGGATATGTCATTTATTAAAATCAATTCTATCTTAACTAATATTATAGCCCCACCCACTCGTTTCCTATTTTCTTAGAGGATATGTCGTTTGCCACGATGAGTCTTAATTTAGCAAGTAGTAGCCCCTCCCACCCACCCTTATTTTCTTATAGGATAAGTCATTTACCAAAATCAGCCTTACCTTAGCAGGTATTAGCCCCGCCTATATACGCTGTTCTCATTCTAACGATTTTATCTATCTTCAATTGAGATCCACCTTTCTTTCGGACTAGATGAAATAAATTCCTGAAATGGAGGCGGGTGGGTGGGCGGGGCTAAGTTTGGCTTTTTCCTACAGAATCTTCTATAAGCAAGCAATAGCCCCGCCCACCCACCCTTTCTTCGTTCCAGTGACTATTTTTAATATTGTTCAGTCCTATCTTAGCAAGTTGTAGCCCCGCCCATACACGCTGTTGTCTTTTTAACGATTTTATCTGTCTTCAATTGAGATCCACCTTTCTTTCGGATTAGATGAAATAAATCACAGAAATGGAGGCGGGTGGGTGGGCGGGGCTAAGTATGACTTTTCCTTAAAGAATCTTTTATAAGCAAAGCAATAGCCCCGCCCACCCACCCCCTCTTCATTCCAGTAATTACCCTTAATATTGTTCAGTTCTATCTTAGCAAGTTTTAGCCCCGCCCACCCACCCATTTTTTTCTTCGAGGATATGTCATTTATTAAAATCAATTCTATCTTAACTAATATTATAGCCCCACCCACTCGTTTCCTATTTTCTTAGAGGATATGTCGTTTGCCACGATGAGTCTTAACTTAGCAAGTAGTAGCCCCTCCCACCTACCCTTATTTTCTTATAGGATAAGTCATTTACCAAAATCAGCCTTACCTTAGCAGGTATTAGCCCCGTCTATATACGCTGTTCTCATTCTAACGATTTTATCTATCTTCAATTGAGATCCACCTTTCTTTCGGATTAGATGAAATAAATCACTGAAATGGAGGCGGGTGGGTGGGCGGGGCTAAGTATGACTATTCCCTACAGAATCTTCTATAAGCAAGCAATAGCCCCGCCCACCCACCCCCTCTTCATTGCAGTAATGACCCTTAATATTGTTCAGACCTATCTTAGCAAGTTTTAGCCCCGCCCACCCACCCGTTTTTTTCTTCGAGGATATGTCATTTATCAAAATCAATTCTATCTTAACAAATATTATAGCCCCACCCACTCGTTTCCTATTTTCTTAGAGGATATGTCGTTTGCCACAATGAGTCTTAACTTAGCAAATAGTAGCCCCTCCCACCCACCCTTATTTTCTTATAGGATATGTCATTTACCAAAATCAGTCTTACGTTAGCAGGTATTAGCCCCGCCTATATACGCTGTTCTCATCCTAACGATTTTATCTATCTTCAATTGAGATCCACCTTTCTTTCAGATTAGATAAAATGAATCACTGAAATGGAGACGGGTGGGTGGGCGGGGCTAAGTATGACTTTTCCCTACAGAATCCTTTATAAGCAAAGCAATAGCCCGCCCACCCATCCCCTCTTCATTCCAGTAATTATCCTTAATATTGTTCAGTCCTATCTTAGCAAGTTTTAGCCCCGCCCACCCACCAGTTTTTTCTTCGAGGATATGTCATTTATCAAAATCAATTCTATCTTAACAAATATTATAGCCCCACCCACTCGTTTCCTATTTTCTTAGAGAATATGTCGTTTGCCACAATGAGTCTTAACTTAGCGAGTATTAGCCCCTCCCACCCACCCTTATTTTCTTATAGAATATGTCATTTACCAAAATCAGTCTTACCTTAGCAGGTATTAGCCCCGCCTATATACGCTGTTCTGATTGTAACGATTTTATCTATCTTCAGTTGAGATCCACCTTTCTTTCGGATTAGATGAAATAAATCACTGAAATGGAGGCGGGTGGGTGGGCGGGGCTAAGTATGACTTTTCCCTACAGAATCTTTTATAAGCAAGCAATAGCCCCGCCCACCCACCCCTTCTTCGTTCCAGTGACTACTCTTAATATTGTTCAGTCTTA